TACACAAAAGGTTTTGTGGTTCTTGTTCCATAACGATCATTTGGCAGTGATATGAACACCTGTTTTGAAAATTAAATGTTCTTGGCATTGCTCAACAGAACCTCTTTTCCTGAGTCAACCTTTTCTCCTGATACTTGTGTGTAGGTGATAATACAAATACAATTTATGCATAACCTAAGTTTTGGTGCATGCATTGCCATTTCATCACAATGAAAATTACATATCAGAAGAAGACAGGGCTGTACTCAATTACCTTTTGCTTCAAGAGCACACTGAATTTTTGTCCACTACTCAGATTAATAAAATTTGGCAATTTAACAGGAGTTGAATTTCTTTGAGACTCTGTCTTAATTACTAAATATGGTATAAATTGGCCAACTTGAGAAATTATAGTATAGTGGAAAATGCTGAATAGGTACTTGCATAATCATGCATGTCTCTTCCTTAAGAGACAAGAATAGAAGTTTTTGGGGTTTGTTGTTCTGTGGCAATTTACAGATTTTTGTAGCAAGATACTGAAAGCATGGGTAGATGTACTCATTGCTTACAGAATTTCTTTTTATTACAAAATTTCACATTTTCCATTTGGAGAGGGAGGATGATTTTGGTAAGCGTTTCAGCCTAGGTAGAAACTTAACAGCTGTTACAGAGTCTCTGAAGAGAATATTGCATATTTCAGTATCTTTGTGTAGAACTACCTGTGATGAGTGAATCACTCTTCAGGTGTTCACAAATGCCAGGGCTTTCTGCAGAGCAGGAAGACTGAAAATTCAGAGTTTTGGATTAGCTGGTAAAACACTAACTTTAAAATAGCAGTACCTTGACCCTACCTGGCATTTTTTCCATAGGCTTTGTTATCCCTGGTTGTCATTCCCTTGGCTCGAGCCTGTTCAGATTAACAGGATGGTGGAACTCTTCTCAGACATGTCTGTCAAAATTAACAGTTTCTTTGTCCAGCAGGTTGTCCCATTTTTTTATGTTCAAAGTGATTTCTACTGAACACAAGTACTCTTGTATGCTTGGAGAGTATCTGCAGTTCTCTGCATGGCTCTGGCACTGTCTGGTACAATAAGGAAGCAAAGAATCCCACTGGGCACTCTACTGTTGATATTTAAACCAAATACTTCTTTTTGTCTCATTAATTAGTCTGTCAGTACAAAATATATTGTAAATTCTAAATTTCCTTAAGTGCATCTTTTCTACAATAGATGTCAGTGTGATATCCAAGATTTTAATTGTAACATTTTTGTCACAGCCAGAATTTGGAAGCATTTCAAAGTACAGGAACAAAAATCAATATCGGAAGTCAACTAGTACATTTTGCTATTGCCTTGGTGTTAGTTGATCTCAATAATTGCTGTGATGGAAATTATAGACTTGTATTAACAAACCATGCTTCTACTTGCCAGGGCAGGGACCTCACCAGGAGGAGTCCCTGCCTGGTGATGAAGGGAGCTGGGAACAGGGATTGGGCCGTGGGCACAGCCACAGGCACTGAGGAATGATGCAAATTGCTGGGATTTCAGGATGTAACACTGACTGTGATAAGAAAATGTCATAGAGTCTTACACACAACTAATGATGATAATGATAATAATGGGCTTATGTCCTTGAGGAAAGCTAGCACCTGCAGAAAGAAGTTATCCTTTAATGATATGCTAAGGAAGTTAGATACATGATAATGGAAATGGAAGGTTTCCAACTTCTGAATCATCAAAACTAGTACAGCGTTTGACCTTTAAAATTTCCATCTTGGCCATGCTTTGGCCAGGTCTGGGTCTCTTAGTTTGACATATTTTATGGTGTCTTGTGATAATGGTGTGTGTTATAAGATGTGTACTCACACACAGACACACACAAATACAACATTGTCCATAAGCAAAACCTCTCCCAGGTGTTTTGGTGTTTGCTTGATTGTTTGTTTTGGTGGGGTGGTTTTTCTTGTTTAATTGGGGGCTTCTTTTGTTTTTTTAGGCATTTTTAAAATCAGATTAACAAAACAGTAAGACAAGGCTGGGTTTACAAAAATGAAAACTTTAATATGAGACTTTTCCTGAGAACCTTCTAGCCCAGCTGTTTTCAGTTTTTCCTAAGAAGTAAGCAGCCTAGGTTAGGGAACACAGAGTCATGCAAATTCACACAGGTCCAGCTTTGTTCACCTAAGAGTAGCCTGGTCTAGATGCTTTTAGAAATCTGCAGAATACTGACTGCTCTCCGTAGGAGGCTAATGCATTATCACTTACAGCTGCAAACTAGGAAAGCATAAAATAATCTTACTTCATGTGTATAGTTCTTGCCCACTCAAAGAATGAAACAGTTGGCTTGACTAACATTGAAAAAGAATGAGGTTGATACTCAAGATTTTTTTTTTTAATTGACAGATTTTAAATTTCAATTAACTACATAGGATGGCAGAATGGCTGAGGTTGGAAGTGGTCCAGCCTCACTCTGTCCAAACTCCCCTCCCCTTCTCACTTAGGGTGATTTGCCCAGAACTGTGTCTGGGTGGCTTTGGAATATCTGAGTGCAGAGACTCCATGACATCCCTGGGATGTGCCAGTGCTCAGACACCCTCACAGTAGAAAAGTGTTTCCTGATGTTCCGACAGAACTGTGTTTCAGTTTGTGCCTTTTGCATCTTGTGCTGTCACTGGGCACTGCTTAGACAATCCTGGTTCTGTCCTGTTTGTGCTTTCCCTCCAGGTGTTCCTCTGCACTGACGAGGTCCCTCCCTGATTCTTCTCTTCTCCAGGCCAAGCAGTCACAGATCTCTCAGCCTTTCCTTGTGGGAGAGATTTTTCAGGCCCTTTAAAATCACAGTGACCCTTTGCTGGACTCTGTCCAGTAGCTCCATATCTGTCCTGTCCTGCAGAGCCCAGAACTAGACATGGTGCTCAAGTACAATTCTTGTATAATTTAACTTTGACAATTCATACAAGTTTGCTTGGTTTTTATGTAAATATTGCAGCTGCACTGAAAATAGGTCTCAGAAGAGAAAATAATTAAGGAGGCCAGAGTTTATTCTTAATAGTCCTGAAACAATGCACGGAATGCTTCTCTTTAAACACAGTGATAATATTTTCTTGGGAAAGTGCCAAGAACATTTCAAAATCAATTTCTGTTCACATTCATTTACAGCTCTTGCACTTATTGCACTGTCTGTCTTCATTTCACTGCTCTGATGGGATGCATAGAGCTCTGCTAAACTGTGCTAAACATCCATCTGTAGAAGTTTATGCTATTTTGCTTGTTAAAGCATCCAAGAGGGAGGTAATAGAAATATTAAAGGTACTGCACTTTGATTTTGTTTTGTTTTTGGGTTTTTTTTGTAGGAGCAAGTTTTATGGGTATTTTCAAGTTATAAATTAATATAATGTGAAGTGCTTTTACTGGACTTGGCACAAAAATATTTTGCTTTGTTTTTGTACCCTAAAGTGTGTAAGCTATGAACAAGGAAATATTTACATCTAGGATTTATCTTGTATGTGTGAATAATCCCTCACTCCTGTCAGTACTGTTCACAACATCATGGTCTAAGTTTGTTTCAGAACACTGTTAAGCATTTTTGTTTTTCTATGGTTTGGTTTTCAAACATCTTTCTTAAAAATTAGAGGCAGAGAATATATAAAAAATAATTCATAATTCTACATAGATTCATTAATTATGCTGGACAACATTCTAGTTGGTAAGGCACAATGTTCAGGTACTAAGATATAAATTTGGATTGGATATTGCAAAATTAGGCTCTGATTCAGTAAACCATATGGGTCAGAATTATTGCTTATAGACTTGATATAAAAAGCTCATGCTTGAATGGATCAGATCAATACTGTTCTTGAGCAAGATTCCACTCTTCCAGCTTTCTGTAAGTTGAGATTTCTCTGAAGTAAGCAGAATTAAGCCTGCTTAAAGGGCATTTAAAGCCATTTAAGGCTTCACAAAGTGATACTAGTGAGTGGCTGAAAAAACCCACCGTATTTCCCATACAAACATGGTTATTAAAACTTCTCTATGTAAGGCAGATGATTCAAATTCTTTAATTACGAAAAAGGCAATGTAGATAAAGGAAATTATATGTATGTAATATTTATACACAAACTTACCTTTATACATATATGTATGTATGTATAAGCTCAAATTTGAAAACAAAACTTGGGGTGAATCTGAAAATAATTTTAAAATGGAGCCCTTCCTTTCTCTAATTATTACTTTAATTATTGCACCTTATTAAAAATAAATGAATCCAGTTATGGATACTTATTTAGTGTTTGGTTTACTTGCAGGTTTCCACCATGCTGTTTGTAAAGCCAGCCTTTTTTATACCACAGTGTTGTTTTCATCATTGTGCAAAGAAGAGGCTCAACAGTACTTTTTAGCACCACAACTAGTTCAGAAGGGTTTGCCTGCATTTGCTGACTCCTCTTGCTGCTCTGTTCCCCTGTGTCAGAGCCAAATTTTGAAGCAAAGCCATCAGCTCTGGGAGTCAGGCACTGATACACAGCTGGATGAGAAGCCTCTCCTTCCCAAGGGCTGCTGGGCTCGGTCAATAGTCACTGCAGTAAAAGCTTTGTGCTTGGAGTGCAGCTGCTGATGCTGGCAGGGCTGGCCTGCCTGCCTCTCTGGATGCCCCACATTTGGGTGTTTGTTATTCACTGCACAGTGACTTTCACAGATGTCCGTGTTTGGTACCTGCTGGGGAGAAATTAAACCTCTGCATGTTGGCCAGTGTACAGACTGTTCCCTCTCTTTGTGGCACTTCCCTTCCAGCCCACGCTGGCTCTGGGGCTCCAAGGCCCAGTTGGGGTGCTCAGTCACATGTTCCCATATCCACCTTTAGGTTTAGGCATTGTTGTGCTCAGGAGATGGAGTTAGCTTTCAAATATTTCTTCTGATTAGAACAACCCCGTCTCAGCAGGCCATCAGCCTGATGTTTTCAGTGACTCTCATTTGCATTAAGGTCCTGAACTCCTGTTTACATCAAGGTCCTGTTCTTGCAAAATGTTTCCTGGAGCTGTGTCTGGATCAGCCTTGACTGTCACTCCAGTTGCTTTTCACTGCTTGGGTAGTTAAAAAAGATGGAAAAACTAGTATATCTGACCTCATTATGCACAGGAATTTTCCACTGGCATTCTCCCCACCATTGCCACGGAGAAATAGTGAGAGAGGACATTTTCCAAGCACTTTATGGCCTGGTGATGACCTCTTCCTAAAATAGCACCTAAGTAACTTCTGGAACAAGGTAATGAACCTCCTACTCTTGCAGCCCCATATCCCTGGCACACATGTCCTGGGGAGCATGGACATTCCTCGTGGCAGGCTGGAAGTGGGCTGGGAAAGGAGCTCTGTGGAACTCGAGCAACATTTTGCTGCTGACATTGTATGACCTTGGACCCCTGTTCTTCACCCTGTGGCCCACAGACATGACTGTTAAACATGTGAGGTTGGGACAGATGGTTACAAGTGTTTGTAATGTTATTCATTGTTATTTCTTTGTAGGTCCCACTTTAACCCTTGGATGAAAATTAAAGTTTCTGAAAATCCATTTCTGTATTAAAGGTGACTTGCAAGGGGAAATTTATTTCATCACCAAAACCTCTCCTTGCCTTGCGTTTTTAAAAGCTTACCTTCTTTGGTTCTTGTCTTGCAGGCCCAGAAAGCTCAGATTTTTCTCCCAAAGAGTTCCAAGCAGGGGACGAGCAGGCACTCTGATCATAGGGCAGAAGGGGTGGGACAGGAGCCAGGAAATTGTGCTGTGAAGTGCCACTGCCTCAATTAGTTTATTTTCTCCTCCTTTGTCATGTAGGGTGGAAGAAGAAGGGATGGCAGCTGGAGCAGCTGGCAGTTTCTGGGGTAGGTTGCATCTAGAAAAAAGGAAGACATGGTAAAGCATAACAGACAAAAGACATGTAGCCACGGGCAGGGACAACGTGACATGAGCCAAGTGTATCTGTGTCACACTGTGGTATTTGACAGGTCTTTCACATCAGAGGCACAAGGATCATGTGTGGTTTTGTAGGCTAACCCTTAGGGCGGCATAAACAGGATTAAAGACTTTAAATTGAGCCCTTTTAAAAAAAAAATCAAAATACGCTTCCTTCTTCCAGCACTTTCTCCTCTGTGTAAGTTGGGGTTTTATGATTTTAGGAATTAGTAATATCCCTTTCGGCACGTAACGTAACTGAGATAAGAATTCATAAATGCATTTGGAACAAACAAGTCCGTGTTACTGAAAATAAGATCGGTTCTGTGATTAAAATGAACGCAATCAAACTTGAAACTCGAAGCACTGCGGCTAAACAAACATATCTCTAATCAGCAAATTATGTCCTTCTAAGGAACATCATAATTTCGAAATGGAGAAACTGCACTGAAAGTGTTTTCTTCAGCGAAGGAATGACGGTGCCGCGGCGTTTGCAGAGTCACGGGAAGCGCCTGTCCAGGGAATTCCGGGGATGTTCCGAGCCAGGCTCCGGTACAAGGGCGACCCCTCGCGGTCAGCCCCCGCCATGGCCGGCCGGCGCCCGCCGTGCGGCTCCTCAAGGAACCTGGAAAATCCTCGGGAAAAACCTGGGAAAAGCCGGTTCCTCCCTCGGGAATTATTGGAGTATTTCTACTATTGGCCTAAGGGACTTAGAGAACTGGGGAAGGGAAGAGGCAAGGGAACAGGGAAAGAAAAAGTAATAAAAAGGGGAAAAAATATGATTTACATATTACATTTTATGCTTCTCTTTGACATTTGCACACACAAGCAGTTTCTTATAAATTTTACAAGTTCACAGAATCAAAGAATCGTTAAGGTTAGGAGTGACCTCTGGAAATTACCCGGTCCAATCCTCCTGCCCAAAGCTGTGTCACCTGGAGCAGGTGACACAGAACACATCCAGGTGGGCTTTGAATGTCTCCTGAGAGAGAGACTGACTGTATAACTCGGGCAGCCTGTTTCAGTGCCCTGCCAGCTTTGACAGAAACTTCTTCCTCTGTTGAGATAGAACTCCTTGTGTTTTAGTTTGTGGCCATTGCTCCTCGTTCTGTCCCAGGGCTGCTCCTCCTGGATTCCTCCTCCTCCTCTCCCTCCTCCTCCTCCTCCTCCTCCTCACTGTCCCTCACAGTTCTTTCCTGCCTCCTCATTCCCCCTTGCAGCATTTTCCCTCTTCTCCCAGGCCTCTCCTGCAGCTCCACACTGCCAGGCCAAAGCCAGCTCTGCCTGTGCCAAGAGTGACTCTCAGCAGCCTGGGGGACACAGGCAGTGCTCCCCTTTGGAAGGGGAGGGTAGGGAGAAAAGCAGGAGGTCTGTGTGCACAGGGCTGTCACCCAGCACCCATCAAAGTGTCTCCAGAGGTGGCTGAGGCTTCAGCTGTGGGTCAAGATCTGATGATCAGAAATAGGTGACACAATGGCCTCTGCAGGCCTTTGGGTGTTCCAGTTTAAGGAACCATGCTATAAAGCCATCCTATAAAGAACAGCTTGAGGAAGAGACCCTTTGATGGAACTGCTGATTTCAGTAGAATCTTTTGAAACAAGTTCAGAGGTATTCCAAGTCATGGGAAAAGATGCTGGGAGGAGGAGACAGCAAGAACCCCAGGAGGAGAGAAGACAGAGGGGTGTCAAATGTCTAAGCACAAGTGTAACTACAGCAAACATCCATGGGAGCACAAACTTCATGTTTGTTACAGAGGGGAAATGGAGCCATCCCCCAACAAATTCTTGCCCAGACCCTCACAGACACAGGATTTCTCAAAGCAAATCAACGGTTTTATTAACAGATGGACAAGGGGGAAATCACTTCAGCATCTCCTGGCAGGGGGAGCATCACAACTGGGACCATTTGCAGAGGCTGTGGAAGAAGCAGGGACTTGGACTCTTCCTCCTGAGGTGGGAGAGGAGGAAGCACAGCATGTTCTGTGGCTGCTGCTTTCCATGGCTGCAGTGGTATCAGCAGATCTTGCTCAGTGCCCAGCTCTGGTGGAAAAAGTGCACAGTGGTTGGTCTCAGGGTGGTCGATGATGTTGTCCTTACAGGTGCTCAGGACTTCGTAGCCACTACCAGCTCCCATGGCTGGGTGCAGCTGTCAGAACATTGTTTGTAGGAAAGACAAGGCAAAAGCAGTGGAGGCCCCTACCTTATCCAAGGGCTTGTCCTCCTCCATCTGCTCTTGGGCACTGCAGGTGGTTTTCTCCTGGCTTCCCCTGCCAGAACCTGCTCTCTTCTGACTGGGCATCCAGTAGATCCCAAGGAGTGTGATTATCATTTCAATACAATTCCAGAACCACCACTGCTGGCAGATTGAGCAGAACACACTTTCCTGGGTGGGTCTGCTCTGCTCCCGCATACTCTGCTCCATCTTCTGCAGATTGGCCATCTCCTGGCTGCGCTGCTCCTCATGCTGCTTCAGGAGCTCTTCTGTGACCTTCACTGCTGAGAGATCCACACTCAGTGCATATTGGAAGATGCCTGCCACCATCAGGACTTTGGTGATGCTTGCAGCTGTGGCCTGGAAGAGAAGGAGGAGGGAGAGAAGGAGATCAGCAGGTCTGGGTGACAGAGATTTGGTGGCTGGGGCAGTGGGAGCAGGACACAGGCATGGGTGGGAAAGGGAGTGCAGGAGCCTGGAGGCAGCCAGAAGGTTGGGGAACTTCTTAGGGATGGAGACACATCCCCTGTGGGGACAGGCACTGGCTGTTGCTGTCAGCCCTGTGCCCCTCAGTGCCTGTCCTTCCCAAAACTATCCCCACAGCCCCTGCACCCTTTCCCCAGCTTTAGAAGTTTTCCTGGGTGTTGGTGTTTCTTGTCCCTCAACCCAGCCTTCCCCCAGCCTGCCCCACTCCCTGCTGCCTCAGGCAGTGACAATGCCACATGGGGTATCTAGGGATGTGTCCCCCTCCTCTCATGTCAGAGACACTGGAGCCCCACAGCAGCACCCTGCCCAGCCAGCTGGAGCTTTGGATGGAGCTAGAGACTTTATCACCTTTAGAAGAAGGGGCAGCAACTCAGGAGCACTGCACAATTGTGATGGGGTTGTGCAGGGAGAAATTCAGAAGGGCCAGAGCCCAAACAGAACTTAATCTGGCTATATGTTAACTGCCATATAAGAGAATAAAAAATGTTTCTATAAATTCATTAGCAACAAAAGGAGGACTTAGAAGAATCATCATCCTTTACTGGATAGGGGTGAAATATAGTGAGATAGATTGAGGAAGAGACTGAGATATTTAATGCATTCTTTGCCTAAGTCTTTAGAGTAAAGCCAATTGTTCTCCATGTATCCAGGCCCCTGAACTGGAAAACAGAGATAGAAGAGCAGGCAGGAAACAGCAACTGGACAGAGGCACCCAAGGAGGATGCAGGCACTGTTAAACTGAGCCCATGTGGAGGATCACTGCCCTGCTGTTCACAGACTAACCAGACACTTGAGTAATTTACAATCTTTCTCACCAGCCAAGTCATCTCCTGGTTGCGCTGTTCCTCATGTTGTGTCAGAACATTTTCTGTGACCTTCACTGCGTGGGCATCCGCCCTCAGCCCGTGCTGGAGGATGGCCAGCACCAGCAGGATTTTGGTGATCTTGCCAGCCATGGCCTGGAGGAGCAGGGGGAGAGAAGGGGCTCAGTGGGGCTGGGTGGCAGGGAGAGGGCGGCCGGGGCAGCGGGGCCGGGACGTGCAGGGCCCAGGGACAGGCGCTGGCCCCAGGGGCGGCCCCGTCCCTGCCCAGGCGCTCCGCACAGCCCTGCAGCATCTGCACAGCCCTACAGAATCTGCACAGCCCTGCAGCATCTGCACAGTCCTGCAGCATCTGCACAGCCCTGCAGCCCCTGCACAGCCCTACAGAATCTGCACAGCCCTGCAGCATCTGCACAGCCCTGCAGCCTCCCCACAGCCCTGCAGAATCTGCACAGCCCTGCAGCATCTGCACAGCCCTGCAGCCTCCCCACAGCCCTGCAGAATCTGCACAGCCCTGCAGAATCTGCCCGGCCCTGCAGAATCTGCACAGCCCTGCAGCCCTGCACAGCCCTGCAGAATCTGCACAGCCCTGCAGCCCCTGCCCAGCCCTGCAGCCTCTGCCCGGCCCTGCAGCATCTGCACAGCCCTGCAGAATATGCACAGCCCTGCAGCCCCTGCACAGCCCTGCAGCCCCTGCACAGCCCTGCAGAATCTGCACAGCCCTGCAGAATCTGCACAGCCCTGCAGCCCCTGCACAGCCCTGCAGCCTCCCCACAGCCCTGCAGAATCTGCACAGCCCTGCAGCCTCCCCACAGCCCTGCAGCCCCTGCACAGCCCTGCAGCCTCCCCACAGCCCTGCAGAATCTGCACAGCCCTGCAGAATATGCACAGCCCTGCAGCCCTGCACAGCCCTGCAGCCCTGCACAGCCCTGCAGCATCTGCACAGCCCTGCAGAATCTGCACAGCCCTGCAGCCCCTGCACAGCCCTGCAGCCCCTGCACAGCCCTGCAGCCCTGCACAGCCCTGCAGCATCTGCACAGCCCTGCAGAATCTGCACAGCCCTGCAGCCCCTGCACAGCCCTGCAGCATCTGCACAGCCCTGCAGGATCTGCACAGCCCTGCAGCCCCTGCACAGCCCTGCAGCATCTGCACAGCCCTGCAGCCTCCCCACAGCCCTGCAGCCCCTGCACAGCCCTGCAGAATCTGCACAGCCCTGCAGAATCTTCACAGCCCTGCAGCATCTGCACAGCCCTGCAGAATCTTCACAGCCCTGCAGCCCCTGCACAGCCCTGCAGAATCTGCACAGCCCTGCAGCCCTGCACAGCCCTGCAGAATCTGCACAGCCCTGCAGCATCTGCACAGCCCTGCAGAATCTTCACAGCCCTGCAGCCCCTGCACAGCCCTGCAGAATCTGCACAGCCCTGCAGCCCCTGCAGCCCCCGCCCGGCCCCGCCCGGCCCGGCC